TCAGCCCTGGGATTTATTGCGCAATAAATGATTTAAGGACTTTTTGTTATAGTAATAAACACAGTGAATCTTCTAAAATTCATAACTAATTCATCTGAGCTCCGTTTAAGCCCATTCAAGTCTCAGTAAATCAAGAAAAATGTGTAGAATCCATTAAAAATGGTTTTGTTCCCTGTTTCAGTAGTCTTATAGCCTGTTTGCAATGTTTGCCTTGTATGTCGCTAGATTCCGGTTCCTCCGACGCTCCGGTGTACTTCGAAATAGTCGCCGAGGTTCCTCCAGCAGCAGAGCAAGGCAAGTCATGCTTGTCACTTGAACATGTTGATCCTATATTGCAAATGCTCTATTGTTTTTCTTCTTCAAATATTGCATTGTTTTATAATGTTACTATGGGGTGTTTACCTATTGTCATAGCCATGCTATTGTTGTACCATGTCCCTTTGTCAGCTTGGGGTTATAACATGACTAGAGATTGGACTAGGGATTGCTTAGCCATGCTTAGTTCAACTAGTGCACAATGGGGAAAATTCTATTAATGTTTAGACTGTTGGTTCTAATGGTATTGTTGGATTAGTGCCACCGCTTTGGTGTTGGTTAATTAAAATGAATCACATGGTGGGCTGTGGGTGCATGGTTTTGCTGGTCGCACCCATGGCAGTTAAGGACCGGTTCGCGGGATGCCCTGGAAGAACTTATCGTACTTACCACAAGCCAGCGTGGGCAACGGCTGGGCTTGTAGTGTAGCTTACCTCTAGCTGACGCATCCAGGCAAGGGTGGGAGTGATGGAGCGGGGCGGGCCCTGCGACGGCCTCTGTCGCTTCCGGATTCACCTAGGCACGAGAGGGGACTGCCCGCTGCCTTGCGAGGAGTGGGGGTGAAACCTGAGGTGTGGTGTGCTTGGTTAGAGGGGTTATGCGAAGGGTCCTGTCACGGCCTCTTTCCGGTATGTCGTGGTGGCATGTCGGCGCACGGAAACATGTCGTGGGGTTGTGTCTTGTGGGTACAGTTGTACACCTCTGATCAGAGTAAAACTATTTGAATAGCCGTGCCCGCGGTTATGGGCGGACAACCAGATTCACCGTGATTAGTCTCACCCTAGTTTAGTCTTTTGAAATTGGATAGTATAGGTGGATGGTTGGGCCTGTCGCAACGTGGTATAGCGTTGGACAGTGGATGATTAATATTAATTAATTATTATGACTGTTTTCTTCTTTAAACTTCTGTTTATTAATGCTCGCTTTATGCAAATGAACCACTCTAGCTCTCCTTTGATAATTCCCTGCATCATACCCCTATTCCGGTATGACTTGCTGAGTACAGTGGGTAGTACTCAGTCTTGCTCTATTTTTCCCAACCCCAGAGTACGAGTTTGTGTCAGATGGAGGTTTCTCTGAGGAGTAGGCTTCGTCCGTGCCGTCGAGGATGCCTGTGGAGTGGTGTTTCCGCTGCAGTTCTAGACAAGGCTTAGCTCCTGTTGTCTTTCGTTTTTTCTGCTGCATTTATGTAAGACTTTTATGATGTTTGTAAGACGTGGATCTGAATGTCAACATTGTCGTTTGTGTACCCCGGCTGGTCCTGGACGGGGATTTTAATGCACATTCTGCTTGGAATTCTATTCGGAAATTTCTGGGCGTGACATATATGCCCACATATCACTGCACATGTAACACATGCTCAAATATATGCAAACCAGCGGCACATTCATGACCTTACTAAATTCTTGTTGGAAAGCTATTTACATGTATGTAATATTCATAGACCCCAATATTTGCATGTGATGAGTGGAGTCATGCGTCTACAACTTCGTCATAATATATACCACTCGTGTTTTCCTCAGTATCTTTCCATCTTGTTTTCAAGGTTCCTCTTTATTTTCATCTTTCATATATTATTTTCTGTTTTTAGTTTATTATCTAGTTTTATATCTTTTTCCTTTTCTCTAACTATATTTTACACCTTTTCAGTTCATTTTGATTTTCTGAAATTTCATGGTGGGATCAAACAGGAGGGAGTGTGATCAACCCCACTATAAATATTACTACTTATGTTAATTCTCTCCCTTTTTTATCATCTAAGCATGCATAAGATTGATAATAAATGAGGTTCCTTTCCAAAAAAGTTGATAAATAAGGGGAAGAGTAGCATTTGTTATACAAAAAGAGACAGATAACCAACATATTAGTGTCTATATGTGATTTAGAATGAAACAGACTTATGGCTTTAAATTGACAAAAAAATTATCAGAAAGAAATGGAATTTGATAGAGGCTTCAGTCATATGGGGCTAAACTAGCCTTAATATCGGTAGAGGTCGAAACTGGTCGCTGTTAATAGATGTAGGGTTACCCTTTGTCCATTGTTCCCATGCAACTTTTTTTATACTGATCGATCATTTTGCTAGTCATCAATATAATCTTTTATGCTTATAGAGATGGTTACCTGAACTTTGACTGATAATATATATTTCATTGGAAAAAGATACGAAGCTGCATGAAAATGATATGTAAGATTTGCTCATAACAGTATTGATCAAAGGGAGGTTCTGGACTTCAGGTGATCTATCAACAACAGCTAGTTTGTTGCTCAACTATACCGAACAAAATACTTCTTTCATTCCATAGTGTGTAACTATTGTCTTAGGAGTATCCATATTAAAACATTGTTAGTTGAGGACATGACAAAATATTTACAAAATTTGACCCTAACTGAATGCTTTTGAAAGAGACACTGCTCCTCACTCCGTTTCATATTATAAGTCGTTTGACTTTTTTTTTCTAATCAAACATTATTAAGTTTGACCAAGTTTATAGATAAAATTAGGAACACTTAAAATATCAATTTACTTTCATTAAATCTAATTTTGAATATATTTTGATAATATATTTGTTTTGTTTTAAAAAAAATGATACTATATTTTTCTATAAATTTAGTCAAATTTAAATAAGTTTGACTAGTAAAAAAAGTCAAACAACTTATAATATGAAACGGAGGGAGTACATGGCTGGTGGTCAAAATCAATCTTACAGGTGGCTGGCCTGCTGCCTGTAACCAAAGGTTAGATAAAATCGTGGATTTTGACAAGCGGAAAACCAACCTAGCAAAAATCGACTTTTGCTAGCGGATCTCATAAGTCACTGCCAACGAAGAGATATTTGGGGCCGAAAAAGAAATAAAAACATTTTCCACAACAACATGATTTGATTCAAATCCATATTTTTCACATGGACATGCAAGCATCAACATCGTCATAATCATCGCCACACACAAAGCCACCGCGGTCATCATCTTGTCGAGCTTCATCGGCAAAGGCGTATGCGGTCCTTCTTTCTTGACTACGGATCCGGGCCATGCCGAGGCCTTCACGCTCGTCGCCGAGCCATCTGTCGTCGAGACCCGCCGGCGCATGATCTGGCCGCCCCGAGGTCCGTCGTCGCCAGATCTAGTGGTTTTGAGGCTGGCTCACCCCTGCCATCATCGTCCCAAGGCTATTGCCATCTCTGTTTGCCGTACGTCGTTGAGGCCCGTCGACACCAGATCTGGTGGCCCCGAGACCCACCATTGCGCCGTTGTTGTCCCGAGGCCGCCCTGTCGTCGTCGTCCCATCAGCTGCTCATGGAGCTGCTGGGGGAGAGAGTGGAGCAGGAGAATGAGTGGAGACCGACCGCCTTTGCCACCCCGTGGCCGTCTCGCCATCGCAGGTGATAGGGGAGAGAGTGGAGAGGGACAACTAGTGGAGAGGAGTGAGGGAGAGGGATGAGAACCGGTGAGGATGAGTATAGGTGAGGGATGAGAATGAGTATAGGAGAGTGTCTCCTAAACTTGTATATTTTACTTGTTGATATCCCATGCTTTGATGTAGGATATGTGGATGAATGCATGCTATAAATTACAGAAAGGATAGATGTATATGTTTAATAATGTTTAAAATTTATTTTTTAGTAGTGAGATATGTATAGTAGTTGTACTATGTATTTCCTTTTTTGTCTTGAAAAAAAAGGTGTACTATGCCTTTGTGGGTATACTGATGGTCGTTTGTCATTAAATTTTTCTCCTTTTCTGCTCACTTAGCTCGGTCTATCAATTACAGAATGGATCGTGGTGGTTGAATAATGCGAAATACATCATGATCTGTAAAGTTCATACATACACTTGTTTATGATGTTTAGCCCCCATCAGGATTTGATCTCCAAAGCTCAGATGCACATGTTTACTTGTACACATTCTTTTAGTTCTAAATTTCAGTTCTTTTCTCTTCACGCCTAGTATAATTTACCTAAATAAAAATGATCTTTCACTGCTGGAGAAACCCTTTTTAATCCCGGTTCACAACCCCCTATAGTCCCGTTTATACAACCGGGATAACGAATCCGAGACTAAAGATGTGTATTTTTAGTCCGGTTGAAATAAACAACCGGGACTAACAAATTACTCGTATACAGTACATAACAAATCTAATCATAGCTATTTTCTTACATTTCGACAGACCTCCTGGTCTCCTAAGGAAGAGTGAGCTTCCCTTTACAGTGAAAATATCACCAATCAAAAGATATGTTGTACAAATACAAAAAAATTGGGAAATACAAGAAGTGGAAACTCAGAACAATAATGTTAGCAGCAGCTTAGCACTTGCTAATAATTTTACAGTCCTGTCAAGTAATAAGTAATGCCTCTTAATAGGAACTTAAAACTGTCATCTTTGCTACCGACTAAATTCAGCTGTAGTTGCAATTTGTAATCAAGTGATAGGTCACACTAGGCCTCAAGCTGTGTAATAGTTCATAAATCTAGGCAATACTTAAACAAATATATGAGTCAGGAAATCTGCTTGCCTAAATATCATTCTGGGACACATTTTAAATGCATTTTAACCTTGCTACAGTCAACTAATGGTCCACAGAGTTGACACATTCTGAAATTATTTTTAGTTCTGTAAATAAATAAATTGTCAATCTCATATACTCAAACTAAAAGAAGCTGATAAAAACAGATGTGACTTGAAGTCTTGAACAACAGAGCTCATTCAGCCCAAGTCAAATCTTGAGCAAACTTATATACAGTCAGTCCCATTGGGGATCCCTACGGCCCTACCCACTGGATGAACACATCAAGGACATGATATGAATAATATATCCGTTAGCTAATTGCTTGATCAACACAACTTCATAACTACTCCGACAGTGGAACTACTTTTGACACACCAAAAAAATGAGATAACTCGTAAATTGCTACAGTCAAGTCACATAGATAATCCCTGGACACCAGTCGTTAAACTTACATATATTTTAGACAAGTTTGTCAAATAAGTATTACTTGCTAAATGAGCAGAACAAGGTCCGCCAAATACCAGCATGAGTTTACTGGAGACGCCTTCCAATACACTTGGGTACATAAGACCTATCTACATCAAGCGAACCATGATACCAGTATGGCTCGGGCACAGGCCACCTGTCATCCAAGATAACTTTTCCTATGTAAATTGATCGTTGAATACAACAATCTAAGATGCCAGAAACAAGTGGCAATGAAGAATCCAAAAATAAATAAATAAATACCTGTTTTTCTTCGTTCCCTCACCGATATCTATGGGCATAGGATTGTTACATCCACTGCGAATAAAAAAAATTTCAGTCTAAATTCTTAGAATAAGCATTATGCCTACTAGCTATCATCAAGATATAACAAGGAAAAAAATCATACCTTTCTGATGGTAAATCATTCACTCTGCTTAAAACTTCGACAATCTTATGCCTTGGTAGGAAAGGAGTTGCTTCACTTCCATCATAGAAGTTCATGCCAACAAAACTCCCATCAAAATTAATAAGAGGGCCTCCAATCCCAGCCTAATACAAAAGAAAGGACCCAATGTTACTGGAAAAGTTGAAATTCCTGAGAAGTCATGTGCTGTGATTATAGAGATAACTCAGATTCTCATGCAACTATCTATATGGGCTACTACGTAACAAAAAAAGTAAGAGAAATTCACCACACCTTCTTGATTTTACATGTGGACAGCTTAAGATCTTTGCAGTCAAGTTTGCATCCCTTTTTACCACGCTTCACATTACCAATTGTGGCCATCAATGGTCCAAGTCTAGTGTCACGTCCTATAGCTACTACTTTTTCAGATGGCTCTTGCACCGTTTTACTAAAAATATCTTCTAGGCGAACAGCATTGAAATTCTTCTTGAGACTGACAATAGCAATATTATAGTTTAAATTATAGAATTCCAATGTCCCACAACAACGTTGGTTCGGTGGGAGAAACACCTCAATCTGCAAACATAAAGTGAGTTCAGCTAGCAATCATATAATAAAGATAAAGATAAATGACTAGGAGAACCAACCGTCAGGTTACTATCAATCTTGTCATCATTACAACGATTGACCAAACTTGCTGAAGTCAAGATGACAGTGCGCGTAGCTTTGCTTCCATGCCACTTTATAATCAAGCCTGTGCATGCAAAAAACCTCACGAAACCTACACATTACAACTTTAATCATTAGTTAGTGAAGGTAAAATTGCATAGAAAAGTAATGAACATATTGCTGTCAAAATCACCATTGAATGATGCAAGGGAGACAACACGACGAGATATATTTGTCACAACTTCTTTCGGAAGTTGATACCAGACACGATTCCTACAAGACTTGGCTGGATCACCATAAGGGTACCCTTTCCATGCAAGTAATTCACCAAAGCGTTCTTCAAAATGATTAAGCAATTCCCCATTCACTGGTTAAAGAAACAAGATCAGAAATTAACTACAAAGAAGTGCACAAGGGAGATGAAAGCAATATCAAAAGCAACGACTTACATTCAAGCACAAGTGGTGGTGGCATGGGATACCCATAGGATTTTAACCGGTAAATAGTTTTCATAAATCCTGATGCAATTAGGAGATCATTATTAGTACTCAGATGATATGTGACATTAGCATAATAAAGAACATAGGTAACATTTAGAATGATGATTCGCAGTATTGTTCACACCTGAAGGTATTATGCTTGATACACCTTTAGGCAACGAATATCCTCGGAAGTGGAGATGTTTAGGACTGAGAGAACACAGTACACTTGTTATGACAAACAAATAAATACACACGAACTAGCCCAACCGCAAAAACAGTCATACCAACACAGGAACCAAACTGTATGAAAGGAACCAAGGTATGAAAAATGTACTAAAAAAATCAGGATATTAAATATTCAACATAAGACATGAGAGGACTGAGCATATTCAAATGTAAGAAATATAAGTTGCACTATCCATATGGCCAAAACGAATTGTTTTGAGTTTAAACACTTCCTCATTTAGGAAATACATTAAGCATGGGCACTAATTTAGTAAAGGACATGTGGCACCGATGTTGGTAACCATAAGGTAGAGGTATCAAGAATCCAAATTGTTTCAATCCAAAGATTACAGTGTGAAAACTCTGAAGGCTCCAATGCTGCTAGAATCAAAAGATAACCATGTGAAAACTCCTAAGGTCCCAATGTTGTTAGTATAAAAATGGCTTACCTTAAACAAAGGGAATATGAGACGAATTTGGAACAGCTATCAATAAGCTAAGTGGGGAAGAAAAAACTCAAATAAAGGATGTGTAAAAGACATACTTCAATATCCCAAAATGCTCCAAACGCTTCCGAAGCAATTTCGTTGGTAGGAAAGCATATGTCAAAGTTCCATCATCATCATGGCAAATGCTAAAGTTCATCCCAATAAATCCCTTATCCTTTCCAAGAAGCGGCCCTCCAAGTACAGCCTAACAAAAGCAAATTGGTAGGATAAAGGAAAAAATGTATTGTTTTTTTTTTACTTCGTTGCAAACAATGATACCTTAAGACCATCAATATTAATGCAATTATTTAATTCAAGTTTTCCATCATACCAAAAGTAACAAACAGATTATAACAACATACCTTAGAGATATCTTGACTATCTGGAACCCAGGTGTTGTTGCAGCGAACAAAACCATCCATAGCCATTAAATTGCCTGACTCGAAGGCACGCCCAGCAACTAGTGCTTGAATACCATCAGGACAGGCCTTAAAACTTATAGGACGGACCTCTATGAGCCCAAAGCACGTGACAATAGCAATATCATGGTCATATAGTCCTAAGAACCCATCAGTAATTCTATTATTAGGAAGGCGCACTGCAACCTATAGTGATAAAAGCAGTACATCAGCATACAATGGCCACAATCAGTTTGGATAAATAAAGCAAAATGGAGGGCGTAATGAAGGCCAAATAAACCAGCAAAATGGAGGACAATGATTTGCAGCACCAACCCTCAATTTATCATCTCTATTTCTCTTCTCGTCGAATACTCTAACCAAAGCAGCTGATGTCACAAATCTCGTTAGGTGTTCTCTAGTTGTCCCATCTGGTAGAGGTATTCCCGAGCATGCAAATAACATCTTATCTCCTGGGCAAGATCATGGTTTAAATAATTAAGAAGTGACAACTAAATACAAATTACGAAAATCCATAAGCATCGGAGTGCACTCACCATCAAACAAAGCAAGGGAGACAACAATGGTAGACAAATCTACATCAACATTAGCACTGATTCGATAAGTTTGTTGACCGGGATTGACAACATGGCCAAATGATTTCTCTTCAAAAGCAATGCTCGAAACTTCTCGATCACGAAGATCTTTGTCGAATCGTTCCTCCTCTATAGCACACAGATTGTTGTAATAATTAGCCACTGCCTTCCGAATCTCTTGATCTGATTAACGAACATGATGTATACACAACTATGAGTGTTTTATTAGAGCAACATGTACCAGAAAAACAAGAACCAAAAAATTCAAAATCAATGACGCACATTTTCTCATATTTTTTAAGCCGCGGCTTGGCTTGTCTTTCTTGTCATCACCCCTACTTGAAAGCAATGAGGAATCAAGTTTGTTCCTTCTGTTTATGGCTCTTTGCTCCCTACTCACACCTCTTGTGCAATCAATCTGTGCCTCGTTTCTCAGGGTCTTTGCAGTCCTGAAGAAGAAAGGAAATGCAAATGGTTAGTCAAGGTTTGATCATAATGCATGTGTGTCACGCCCGAAAATTCACAAGTAATTTCCAAACTAATTTGTGTATTAAAAATCCTCGTCCAGGAATCACCCGAGGTATACAAACTGACAATTTATAATATATAGATTCATCATAATAACTAAAGTGATTAAATACTTACATATGAGGCACTTAGTCCTCACCACGAAGAAAACTGCAGCAGAAAAGAAAATCTAGCGAAGCTTCAACTCCACTCCACCAGACAACTCACTGGGATCTAAGCCAAAAGTGTTCTTTTTATGGATCTTTTTTCTCCAACTGAGGTTTGATGATTATTGCACGGTGAGTATATGAATACTCCGTAGGCCACACAACAAGTATGCAAGTGCACAGGGATAACAAAGGATGACATAATATAGGGTTCATTTGCGAAAGAAACATTTGACAAAGAGTTGAGAATATGTAAAACAGTAGAGTAATTAATTAAATAGTATTAATCCAACACTATACAACATACCCGTTGCATAGGCCCAACCATAACTGAACAACCATGCCCGGTTGACAGACCCAATCTCCAAAACCAAGGACTAACCATTTCATACCAGGAGCTAAACCAAAGTATCATCATTTATCACATTATTATTAATGAGTAGTGTGGAACTAATCAAGAAAAACATTGTTAGGCTCACCCTATAACCGCGGACACGGCTACTTGAATAGTTTTACTCTGGCTAGATGTGTACAAATTTACCCACAAGACATAGAACCATAACATGTTGCCATGCCCTCAGTACCACCACGGTACCTCGAAACATGACTGTGACAAGAGACCTCGCATAACACAATTCAAAGCAGTGCACCTTCCTGGATCATAGACTCCCCTTTAGACCAAGGTATAAACTCCCCAGCGAATCCCGTGGGCTTATCTCCACAACTTCTCACTCTGGCACTCCATAATGAACCATGCTATATAATGTATCCAGTCGTTGCCCACGCTGGCTTGTGGTTAGTACAGTTAATGCTTCACAATAGTAGCTCGTGAACTGGCCCTTAATTGTCATGTGCACGACCATCAAAACCATGTGCTCACAACCCACCATTATTAGGTTTTAATTGGCATTTAACTAATTAACCAATCACGATTGACCATCGTGAGCTACCATTAAATATCCATCATTAAGTAATAGTGAAGCATTAGTTATCCCCATAGTGTGCTAATGTTTCAAAGCACGGGTAAGCAATTACATCTAAATATCTAACTAAACCAGTATATAAGGCCCAGCTAGTCAAACTACCCATAGGATAATAAAGTTACCTTCGGCCATAATATGGGGAAAAGGCTCAGACAACCCAATGACATTCAAAAATAAAAGCATATTTAAATGAAATAAAGAATTTAAACATAGATTCAACATTCTCAAAGGGTATTTTGAGATCTATGTGACTTGCCTTGCAAACAAGCGTCTTCAATTCATCTTCAGGAGCTTCTCCAAAGAACGAACGATCATCCGAAATGACGGAAAACTAAACCTAGAACGTAAAATGAGAAAAAAAACACTAATAAAACCAAATAAACAATACAAATAAAGTTTATAAATGGGTAGAGGTTGAATTTATATGAATTATGTGATTTGAACGATCTCATTTCGAGTTCGTATAAATTACTTATGAATTAATGAAATTTTAATTAATTAAAACATGTAAAGAAAACATCATATTTGATTATTTTAGAACTGAAAAGGAGGAATATGACGTAAGCCCTAGGATAGGAGAGAGAAAGGGCTTGTGATAGGTGGGAACCATTCGTCATAGAGACAAGCGGTAGACCGGGTTTTACCATGAATCACGTCCACAGAGGTGGTCAACGGGTCCACGGGATGGATGGCTCAGATTGGTTTGACTTGAGATCCGACGGATGAGATCAATCCCGAAATAGGATTTAGGATAGCAGCCACGTGACATACAACAAGCAGCCATGGGGATGGAAACGACCACGTGGCACTGACGCGAATGCCACGCGGGATAACCAGCCGGCCGGCTTAGGACGACGGCGGTGACGGCGAACGGCGGCGGAAAGCGAGAGCACGGGGAGGAAGAGGGGACCGAGGCGAACCTTGCCACTACTTACACGACGATGAACGACGACGGGAGACACCGGCGGGGAGCTCCGAAGGGCAGCGAGGTCGGGTCGGCGGTGGCGGCGGTTTTCCGGCGACGGGCAGCGGCAACGGAAGGGTAGTCGGGCTTCTCCTCGGCGCTGCGATGCGGAGGAGAGCGACGGCGAAGCTCGGCGATGGTGGAAACAACGGTGAGTGGCGGCTGGAGGTCGATGGGAGGCAGCGGCGCTCGGGTTCGCGTCGGCGAGCAGCTTCCGGTGGTCTTCGGCGCAAGGGAACCGGCGGCCGAGGTAGCCCTCGTCCTTGCGGAGCCAACGAAGAGTTAGGCAAAGAGGGAGGAGATCGGCTCGGACACGGCGGGGATTGGCCGCGGAAGAGTTAGGGTTCGCCGGCAAGATAGGAGATCAAAACCGCTCCGATTCGGGGAGATAAACCACGGGATTTCTTCGATTTCTCGAGGGGAAGGCAAGATTAAGAATAACGGCAACAAATCCCCTCAATCAATTTCGGAAACGGAACAACGAGACGGCCGAATTTGGAGGGGGAGGGCAGGCGGCACAGGCTCGGTTCGGCCGACTGAAGCTTGAAGAAGACACTGTAGCGAAGGGACACAAACGGAACTTCTTCGTTTCCAGACTTCCAGCCCAAAAGGAGAGAGACGTAGAATGAACTTCTCTGGAAAAGGGACCTGCAGCTTGGGCTGCGGCTTGGGGAGGGGAAGAGAGGAGTCGGGCCAGATTCAGCCCAAGACTAGGAACTGCAGCTTGGCTGTGGCTTGGGCAGGAGGAAGAGGGGAGTTGGCCCAAGACTAGGAAGAGGATTTTGTTTTCTTTTTAATTTAAATAAATTGCTGAGATGATGTTTCATTTTAAATGTTTATCTAGCCTAATTTCATGTTCGATTTTTTCACAATTTTATTCAAACACTTACTTTAATTATTAAATAATTTCTAAAAATTTCTTTTTCACAACAATTTATAATTTAGCGATTTTTAGGGTGTGAAAATGCGCCAACACCAATTGGAAAATTACCTCACTTTCGGTTTCACTAACAATACTGACAATCATAACGCCATGAATTGAATCAGCTTGTGCTCAAAATCAATACCTAATTGACTTGATTATTAATATTTGCATATAGATCTGATACAATGAAAAGATTCAGTTTGCCCAAATTTACTTTCCGTTGTATGGCGAATTTGCAAGTGGTTACTAAAAAATAAAGGCAGAAAGTTCCTAGCTAGCAACAAGTGGTGAACCAACATGCACATGGATTTTATTTGCAGCAACGAAAAAAATCTAAAATATACGTACTACATGTAACATATGGCAGAATAGATTGAGGAAAGTGCAGGTGTTTTCTGTCGACAGAAGAAGGTTAGCAGCAATATTCCCCAGTAAATAACAACTTACATGGTGCAACTTGGTCAGATCAATATGATGGCGTCCGCCGGCCGGTGTCGCCGCCAACCGTGATTTAATTTCGCCGCCGCGTCCGCGCGCGAGATGCCGATCGAGATGGGTTTTTTTAGGGTTCGCGTTTATACGCCGTAGCGCATGCAGATGCGGGGCGTTTGTTTTGTGGAGAATCATCATCTTATATATGTGGCCGGCCCACCAGTTGCAACGGCAAATTCCTGCAGTACTTTCCTCAATCTCAAACACCTCCTTTTTTTCTCTTTTTTTTTTCCGTGCGCCATCTGCCTCAAGTACTTGTTACTATTCCACAGGAAATACTTCCATATATTATTCTCGGTGACCTCCTATAATTAATTTGCTCCTCTCGATCAATTAATCTGCAGATTAGTCGTTCTGCTGAGATGATGCTGTCCATCTTCGTCTTTGTCTCTCACCATTGACATACAACCACAAGGCAGAGGTAAATCGTCTTTGTTCCATTAGTACATGAGGCCGGGTCGAGGTGTACGCATCTATATTCTCAGAAGAGGCGCCGCATATAAACACAAACCATCATCTCCGGCGCAGGCATCTCGCAGACCGGCGACGCGTATTCTCCGACGGGCGGGGGCATCGCGGTCGGCGGCGATTCCGGCGGCGAATCTGACGGGCGGGGGTGATCTAGGACGCGTCTCACGGCTAGTGATTCCTTCCAACCCTATATATACATCTCTGGTTCGATCGCCTGCTTCATCTCATCGGGGACAAGTTGCGCCATGTAAGTGTCGTCTATTTACTATATCTTCGTGGTCTAGCGGTTTTTCTTTCTTTGTTTTTGTTTTTGTTTTGTTTTGTTTTTTTTTTTTTTTTGCTCATTGAGTAGTTCCAACTGTGTGTGTTTCTACTCTGCATGGGCTACGTTCTCTTCGATTTTATGTTTTTTTTTGGTTGTTTATCCATGTGCACACTACTGGAGAAACGCTTCTCTCCCAGTTCGTAACCCCTCTACTCCCGGGTAGCAAACCGGGAGAAATAATTCATCTTTAGTCCCGATTGAAATACCCGGGAGTAACCAACCGAGACTAAAGATGGCTGAGCCTCGTCCCGGTTGGTCCCCTTTTCTTATTTTTTTTATTGTTTCTTTGCTGCCACGTCCCGGTTGGTCCCCTTTTCTCTTTTTTTTCATCGTTTCTTTGCTACTTACCAGTGTTAATCCCTGTATTTCCTCCCAAATCAAGTAGGATGCATATCCCAAATCAAACCTCAAATCTCCAAATCAAAGTAACATCCCAAATCATTCACATCACAAATCCCAAATCATTCACATCACAAATCCTAAGTTACTTATAAAAAAACTCAAATATACATCACAAATCCTTAAAAAAAATACACACAAATCAAATATATCGCAGATTATACATCTCAGATCCATGCAATGAATCACAAATTCTAAAAAGAAACTATACATCTTAGTGAATCACAATTTTTTTAAAAAAAGAAGGGACGCCCCCCGGCCGCCTCCATGCATGCGCTCCGGCCACCGCTCGCCACGGCCAGCCCCGCCGGACGCCACCGGGCATGGCCCCGTCGGCCGCCGCCTGATGTCGCTCGCCACGGCCGGCCTCGCCGCCTGCTGCCGCTGGCCGCTTGCCCACGTGCGGCCACACCGGCCGCCGGATAGGAGGGGAGGAGGGGGAGGAGAGGGGAGAGGAGGAGAAGGAGGAAGGGGACGAGGGGGAGGAGGAGAGAGGAGTGGAGAAGGAAGGGGATCGGATCTGAGAGGAGGAGAAGGGATGATTCGATCTTATCTAAATATCTCGTTAGGACTTAACCGATCAGAGATGGGAGAAAATATTTACTCCCGGTTGATACCAACAACCGGGACTAAAGATTACCATCTGGATGGTAGATCTAAATGATCTTAATCTTTAATCTGGTTGGTAGTATCAACCGGGAATAAAGATCATCGGCCCCCTGACATACCTCTAACATGGGATGAACCGGGACTAAAAATGATCTTTAGTCAACCGGGACTAAAGATCAAACTTTTTTAATCAGGATTAAAAACAATCTTTAGTACCGGTTCTTATTTGAACCGGGACTATTGTGGAAATCAGCCGATCCAGCAAAGATCACTTCTCCAGTAGTGGCATGTTTATTTTAAGAAAAAAATTATCCATGTGCATGTTGGTCCATTGAATAGTGTTTGGGCCGTTTCCCCTATTTTATTCCCACTTCACTTCTATCGAACTATAGTCCCGGTTCTTTAGTTTGGTTCAATTGGATTCTGCTGTATGTTGAATCTTTTCTGTTGTGCCGTACCCTTTGTGGCTGGCAATCTTACTATATTTTCACCACTTGCTGATACAACGCAAAGATTTGGGTAAACTGAAGTTATTATATTAGTAAAAGTGCCCGTGCGTTGTAACGGGCGAAGACAACGTCAAAAGAACTGGACAAATTCACTCATTTTGTTCATAAATATTTAACATTTACAATATGATTTGATTAAACTTTAGAAATTTTGATCACCAATAATTTTTGAACTGTTTTGTTTGAAAGTAGAAGAAAATATATACATAGCTGAAGAATCACAAAGAAAATCCAGTTCTGAAATGAAGGGGACAACATTTCATACCTTAAGATACTATTCCGATTAGAATTTAGAACTGTCGGTAGTGTCACGTTTGCGTGTGTTGAAGAGCTGCCTTGCTTGGGGGTTGGCGCAGCAGGACCATCTGATGGGAACGATGGACAGAAAGCCCAGGTGGCCAGGGAAGAACAAGGAGGCAGATGCACGAGTCCGATTGTATATTCGTATGCACGTCACCGTCCGCTTGCTGCTCGCATGATTGCACGAGTCCGACTCGATGACAAGGCGACGTACTGCCCGACAAAAACATCTTTATTTTTTAAATATTTTTTAAATAGTAGAGATAGAGATCTATACCCAAATAATCAAGTCAATTTGGTATTGATTTTGAGCACATGCTGCTTCATAGTGTTACGATTACTAGCATTATCAGTGAACCCGAAAATAAATGGTTACAAGGTAGTAAGGTGCTCTATTGTTTTAGTTTTCCAATTGGTGTTGCTACATTATGATCAAACCTTGACCAACCATTTGCATTACTTTCTTCTTCAGGACTGCAAAGACCCTGAGAAACAGGGGGCAGATTGACTGCACCAGGGGTGTGAGTAGGGAGCAAAGAGCCATAAATAGAAGGAAAAAACTTGAGTCGAGTTCTGGTTATGTCAAGTCCCGCAAGAGGCTCCTAAAAGTTTACGTTGAATGTGAGTAATTGATTTGAATTTTCAGGTTCTTCTTTTTCTGTTACATATTGCTCTAATAAAATACTCATAGTTGTGATGTATCATTTTCGTTAATCAGATCAAAAGAGACTGAAGGCATTGGATGCTTTTGAAAAAAATCAATGTGCTATTGAGGAGGAACGATTTGGTGAAGGTCTTTGTGATCGAGAAGTTTCGACCATTGCTTTTAAAGAGGAATCATTTGGCCATATTGTCGAACCCAGCCAACAAACTTATCGAACCAGTGCTAGTGATGATCTTGATTTGTCTGACATTGTCGTCTCCCTTGCTTTGTTTGATGGTGGATGCACTACAATGCTTATGAATTTTCCTTATTTGTGTTTAGTTGTCACTTAATTATTTAAATCGTGATCTTGTCCAGGAGATAAGATGTTATTTGCATTCTCGGGCATACCTCTACCATCCAGAAGATCTAGAGAAGAACTAACAAGTTTTGTGACATCAGCTGATTTGGCTAGAGCATTTAATGAGCATAGAAATAGGGATGATAATTTGACGGTTGGTGCTGCAAATCATTGTGCCATTCGTTTTGCTTGTTTATTTGGGCTTTACTACGTCCACCATTTCACTTTATTTATCCAGATGAATTGTGGCTATTGTACGATGATGTACTGCTTTTATCACTATAGGTTGCAGTGCGCCTTCCTGATAATACAACTACTGATGGGTTCTTAGGACTATATGATCATGATATTGTTATTGTCACATGCTTGGGTCTCGAAGAGGTCAGTCCTATAGATTTTAATGGAACACCTGCCTGTCCTGATGGTAGTCCTCTTCTAGCTGCTGGGCGTGCCTTCAAGTCAGGCAATTTAATGGCCATGAGTGGGTCTGTTCATAGTGGCAACACCTGGGTTCCTGATAGTCAAGATATCTCTAAGGTATGCTTTGATCTGTTTTCTACTTTTTGCATTGATGGAAAACTTGAATTAGATAATTGTATGATGATATCGGTGATCTTATAAGCCTTAAGGCACCACTGTTTGCTGCAAAGTAATATATATATAGTGTGGATAGACATATACAGATGTCTAAGAAAATCAGCCACACGATAGCAGTGGAAAAGATTTGAGTAGTTTAGAATCAAACTGCAAATATGAAACTATTACAAACATGAAGCAAGTAAAAGCGGGATGTTGGCACTCTGAAACTGCAAACCTGAAACGCTTCTATTATGTGCTTGTTGACTGCAAACCTGAAACGGTGGAGATCGACCGAGAGGCGACGTTGCCGGTGGAGACAAGCGGATCCAGACACGGCATCGATTGTTGGCTGCTGTCGTGCATGTATTTCACCTAGGATGGCAACAAAATCATGACAACAATTCCAGCAGAACAAAATAATGACAGTAAAAATTATTTGGGATG